TGATCAACTACAATAGGGCCCCTAAAACCCAAGCCAACTATTTCATTTGGTAATCAGCTAAAAAAACAGAGATTTGTTTCTAATATTGGAGGAAAAACACATAAGACTCTAGAGAAAAGAAAATGTCAGAATCCAATGTGGTGTTATCCTAGGGGGGTTTCAATGTGGTTTTAAATTTTTTTAATTTTTATTTATTGATTTATGAGACAGAGAGAGAAAGACAAACGTCAACTTGTTGCTCCATTCATTGATGTATTCAGTGGTTGATACTTTAAAAGAGATTTTTTATTTATTTTTGAGACAAGAGAGGGGAGGAAAAAAAGGGAGAGAAATATCGATCAATTGTCTCTCACATGCTGTGACTGCGCAGCCCAGGCATCTGCGCTGGACAGGAATCGAACCAGCAACCCCTCCCTTTGCAGGCTGATGCCCAACCAACTGACCCACACCAGCCAGGACTGATTCTTTTTATTCCTTTAATTAAAAAAAAAATCCTCACCAGAGGACTTTTTTTCATTGCTTTTAGAGAGAAAGGAAGGGCCCTGACCAGTGTGGCTCAGTTGGTTGGGCATTGCTCCACAAAGCAACAGGTCACTGGTTCAGTTCTTGGTCCAGGCACATGCCTAGATTGCCATTTGTTGGGGCACGCAGTGGAGGGAACTAATCAGTATTTCTCACATCAGTGTTGCTTTCCCTCTCTTTCTCCCTCCCTTCCCTTTTCTCTAAAATTAACTAAACAAAATAATGTAGCAAAGAAACATTGTTTGGCTGCCTCTTTTAGGCTCCCTGACCAGGGATCGAACCCGCAGCCCAGGCCCAGGCATGTATGCAAACTGGGAACTGAAACTGCAGCCTTTTCCACGCACTAACGACATTTCAACTGAGCCACACCAGCCAGGCACATTGGTTAATCCTTTCTCCTTTTTTTAAGATTTTTATTTATTTTTTAATAATATATTTTATTGATTATGCCATTACAGTTGTCCCATTCCCTTCATTCCCCTCCACCCTGCACACCCCCTCCCACCCTTCCCCCACTTTAGTTCATGTCCATGTGTCATAAGTTCTTTAGCTTCTACATTTCCTACACTACTCTTGCCCTCCCTGTCTATTTTCTCCCCACCGTCTATGCTACTTATTCTCTGCACCTTCTCCCCTGCCTCCTCCTCCCATTCTCCTGTTGCTAACCCTCCATGTGATCTCCATTTCTATGGCTCTGTTCCTATTCTAGCTGTCCTCTTAGTTTGTTTTTGTTTTTGTTGTTTTTTAGGTTCGGTTGTTAATAGCTGTGTTTGTTGTCCTTTTACTGTTCATATTTTTTGTCTTCTTTTTCTTAGATAAGTCCCTTTAACATCTCATGTAATAAGGGCTTGGTGATGATGAACTCCTTTAATTTGACCTTATCTGGGAAGCACTTTATCTGCTCTTCCATTCTAAATGAAAACTTTGCTGGATAGAGTAACCTTGGATGTAGGTCCATGCCTTTCATGACTTGGAATACTTCTTTCCAGCCCCTTCTTGCCTGTAAGGTCTCTTTTGAGAAATCAGCTGACAGTCCTATGGGAACTCCTTTGTAGGCAACTGTCTCCTTATCTCTTGCTGCTTCTAGGATTCTCTTCATTTTAATCTTGGCTAATATAATTATGATGTGCCTTGGTGTGTTCCTCCTTGGGTCCAACTTCTTTGGGACTCTCTGAGCTCCCTGGACTTCCTGGAAGTCTATTTCCTTTGCCAGAATGGGGAAGTTCTCCTTTATTATGTGTTCAAATAAATTTTCCACTTGTTGCTCTTCCTCTTCCCCTTCTAGTTTGGATGTTGGAACATTTAAAGATGTCCTGGAGGTTCCTAAGCCCCTCCTTGTTTTTTTGTGAATTCTTGTTTCTTTATTCTTTTCTGTTTGGTTATTTCTTTCTTCCTTCTGGTGCACTCCATTGACTTGAGTCCCAGTTTCCTTTCCAATACTATTGGTCCCTGTGCATTTTCTTTCATTTCAATTAGTTTAGTCCTCATTTTTTCAACTAATTTGCAAACAAAATCAACCAATTCTGTGAGCATCCTGATCACCAGTGTTTTGAACTGTGCATCTGACGGGTTGGCTATGTCTTGATCGCTTAAAAGTATTGGCTCTGGGGCTTTGATTTGTTCTTCCATTTGAGCCATGTTTTTGGTCTGGTCAAGCCTGTTAGTATGAGGGGCAGAGCCTTAGGTGTTCACCAGGGCAGGGCAACCCAGTGGTTATGGTGCTGTATGTGGGGGTGGGGTCAGAGAGGGAACAATGGCGCTTGCTTTGCTTGTATTTCAGTCCCCTCTGCCACTTCCCACAAGCAAATTGAGTCCTTCTGGTGCTGGTTCCCAAGTGGGTGGGCTTGTGTATGTTCTAGGACTCTGTGGGTCTCTCCAACAAACTTTCCTATGAGGTTGGGTGTCTCTCTTGGCACCTCAGCCCTGTAAGTGTTTTCAGTCGGTGCTTTTAGGCTTTATTTCCCATCACTGGGGCCCTGAGTTGCATGGTCTCTCTCGCTGACTGTTTTTGCCTGGTTTATCTGTGTGTAAATGTGTGACCACAGTCATCCCTCGGCCTTGCGCACCTCACTGGGTCTGCTCATTTCCTCCCCATGCCTGGGCCTGCCAGCCACCACTTTCTCCTGCCGCAACCCCTCTCTGCTGGCCACCAACTCCACCTCTCTTACCAGTGTGGATGAATGGTTGTCGCACTTCTGTACAGTTCAATTTTCTCTCTGTTCTGGTTGTTTTTGTTTCTAAATCTTTGTCGTCCTTAATTTTGGCGTGCGAGGCACAGTATTTCCGCCTATGCCTCCATCTTGGCCGGAAGTCCTTAAATCCATTGGTGAATTCTTGATTCTTGTATGTATCCTGACCACAGACTGAAAGCCCAAGCTTGGCATATAAGGATGGTTCTGTAACCAACTGAGCTACCTGGGCAGGGCTCAATGTATTTTTGAAAATACAATTTTTCTTCACCTGCTGACTTTAGAAATACAACTCTGTCCCTGGCTGGTGTGGCTCAGTGGATTGAGTGCTAGCCTTTGAACCAAAGGGTCACTGGTTTGATTCCCAGTCAGGGCACATGCCTAGGTCTCTAGTAGGGGGGTATTCAAGGGGCAACCACACACTGATGTTTCTCTCCCTTTCTCCCTCCCTCCCTTCCCCTCTTTAAAAATAAATAAAATCCTAAAAAAAAAGAAATATAACTCTATTATATTGTCCTTGCTTATGTGAGTCCTCTCCTATTAAACTATAAGCACTTTAAGGGCAAAATCCATCTTAGACTCCTCAGTGTTTACCATTGAGCTAGCTGTTTAGAATTTTATGGACTAACACCACCATTCTACTAAGTTGGAAATTTTATGTCACCTGTTACTGTGTGGTTTTTGTCTCTGGATTAGATCCTAATAGCTATTGTATATCACACTTCATTAATCACAATCAGTAACCAAACCCTAAAAATTTTAACTTCACGTTCTATCTACAAAATGTCACTATTTATATACTTTACTTCTTATAGCTAGAAATCACCTCTTCCTTTCCACACCCAACTTAGCTGACACCTGCATTATCTCATCTGAACCATACCAATAGCTTCCCAATTGGTTTTCCATCATTAAACTAACTGACACAGGGCTGCCAGTTCACCTGTTTATGTTACCACATAAAATTTGAAGTGGTATACGTTTAATAGTTACCATTTTTAAGATATATGATTTATATTTTCTCCCATTCTTTTAAAAAAGATTTATTTGTTTGTTTGTTTATTTATTATTTATTTATTTATGGGGGGAGGGAGGGACAAAAAGAGAGAAACATTGATATGTGAAAATTTGCCCTGTTCTCTTGTAAGAGTTGTATAGTTTTGGCTCTTAGGTCTTTGATCCATCTTAATATTTATATATTGTGTGAGGTCAACATCCAACTTCATTCTTTTGCATGCAGGTATCCAGTTGTCCCAGACAATGTTAAAAACTCTATTCTTTTCCCATTGAATTGTTTTGGCAGCCTTGTTGAAAATCAGTTGACTGTAAATGTAAAGATGTACTTCTTGATTCCCAATTGTGTTTTACTGTTCTAATGTCTGTCCTATGCCGGTACCACATTGTATTAATTACCATTCTTTGAAATAAATTTTGAAAGAGGGAGGTGTGAGTCCTCCAACTTTGCAAACATTCTTATTTAACTTGTATTGAACCTCTGGGTACTAGACATTATTTCCATTTTACAAATGAGGAAATTAAGGAACTTTAAATTAGCTTTCACATAGGCACAAAGCATTTGGTGGTTGTCCCAGGGTTCACAGTCAGATCTATATAAAGCTGACCCATTGGCTATGCTCCTTCTATAATCTGGTTCCACTCGACCTTCCAATCTATGCTAATCCCCAATGTACCCAAATACATCTCCTATGCTTTTCTGCCTCCAAACTTCTGCTTCTATCATTCCCTCCCTTCTATCCCTGCCCTCCATCTGTTCCATAAAATTCTAACACATAAAATTTCCACTATCATTTAGCAGTTTTTTATTCCACATTACACCTTATAATAAAGATACCTCGGTATATATATTATTTTCCTTCCTAGGCTAAGAATAAAGACCATGTCTCATTCAACTTTGTATCTCCCCAAAGCCCTAATACAACACCTTTTACATGATGTACTAACTAAACATTTTGAATGAATAAATGAATTCTGACATTGCCCTGTCAGAGAGGGCAGTAAGAATGTACAGATGTGTGTAAGGGTTGAGGTGGGGCCTTGAGGCCCCGGCCAGGAAATATCCTAATCCCAATAGTGTGATAAAAGAAGGAAGACAGGAGACAGGGTGTGCTAGAATGGCAGGGCCAAACAGAGCTGACGTTAATCACTCCGAGAGAAACCTCCAGTTGTGAGGTGTTGTGTGTATAGACAAGTAACACTTGCCAGTGAACAGGAAATAAGCAAAACGAGTGAGTTAAGAAGCCCAAACTGAGTTTATTGTGGTATCACAACCGCCCCACTTTTCTAGGCATCCAGTCAGAATCTGGCTCAGCTATTTAAACTCCACCATCTATTTTCTCTTCCAATTGCCTCTTATCCAGCTGGCAGGAGCTTCCAAGAAACATGATATAGTAGGCACTGCAGTATACAGGCTGCTTGTTGGGATTGGAGTAGACCTGTTCAGGTTTGAGGGACGCGAAAGGGTTGGCTCCATAGGCAATGACGTGTGCATCCAGGTCCACCAGAATCTGCAACGAGGCTGCCAACTCCTGCTGGCTATGGGAAACACGTAAGAAAAATTGCTCTGCTGATTATGAAAGAGAGAGAGGGAAGAAACTGCTCAGAACTTGACATTTCTGTACTCATCAAACCCCAAAATTACCTAAGGCTTGACTAAATAAGGGCTATCCCTCCCTCCCTCCCAAATATCTCACTAATTACCAGTTTACTAACACAGACCTTTGTTCCAAGGAGAACAAGAAAACCAAATAGGAGAAAGAAAATCCTCACTAGAAGGCAGAAGAGGAGCAAGTGGGAGAAAAATAAGCTCATCTATATAAAGAGAGTGTGAGGGAGGTATCACAAATAGGAAGTGTTAGGGAGGCAGTCCAAATAGGAAGAGGTTGAAACCTGTAAACAGTAATCAACACAGGAATCTCATAATCACGAAGTAGCAGAAGGGTGGGCAGCCAAGCCTCCATCAAGTCCGGGGAAGCATGAAAACCTATGGAATAGAGGGGAAAGGCTCAGGTAGACCTTAAGCAAGATACTTCTCTGATTGTGTCCACCCTGACCCTCACCTTGCTTACTGCTAGTGCTCATTTACCACTATCACCCACCCCAGGTTCTGCCGTGGAAAATTCTGAATTCAGGTGTAGCACATAGAGCTAATGATCCGCAAGGTCATTATCACGTTGTGTTTAACCTGACCAAATGAATGGGGCTCCAAAAATAGGACACAAGAGTCTGAATGGGAAATTCCCGGAGGACCCACCCAGTATCCTCCTGAACTCTTACCTGGATGGAATGCCACCGCCAAATCTGGATGGGCTGTCTGCCCCGTCTCTACCTGCTCCTCCCAGAAGTTATGGTAGAGGCCCCTGTGGCCACTAAGCTGAACTGTGCCAGGCTCCAGTGGTGAAGTTGAGGTGCTTTCTGAAAAGCCAGTAGCAACGTCTACACCCACCATTATTATACGGAGTCCAAGGTGTCCAGGAAACATGTAACCAAGCTCATTGTAGTCCCCGGGGCAAGTGAGAAACGTCTCCACATGGGAAGCACCAATTACATGCACTGTGCTTCCTCCCATCTTCTTAACATTTATCCCCAAGGCCCGAAGCCCAAAGCCCAGCGTTAAGGGCCGTGACAGGACATCTGTCAGGAGTCGCTTCAGAGAGCCCTGGAGGACATCTGGGTCTGGCCTTGGCCTTCCTACACTGGCCCACAGGGTGGCCATGGCACGACTACCTAGCACAGCATCCATTGTAGCATCTAGCTGTAAATGCCGAAGAGAAAACCAGGTGTCCCAGTCCTGTACCACTTCAGCCTGCTGTGGCCAAGGTCCTGAGGGTAGGACAAAATCTCCTGCAGGAAAGAAGGGGCAAGAAGTGACCTACTCCTTCCCTGTCCTCAATATTCCTTCCTTGTCCGCTCTCCCAACCTGTGACCAGGAATGCTCTACTACCCTGCCCCACTCAGTTCCTCATTTTTCCCTGGTAGCAACATGCTTTCATCACGCTCTCCAGGTACCATCACTGACCATCATGGCAGAACTTCCCACCCGCTGCCACTCCACCTGTGACCAGAAGCCATTCCACGAGACGGTCCACAGCTACAAGACGCAGCTCTTGACAAACCCTCCTGTGTGCTGGCCAATCTGACCTCTGGCACTCTGGGCCACAGTAATAGACATTTCTGCACCTGAGAGAATAAGCCCCAGAAATATTTGAGGAGAGCGGGAATGTAATTTTTCTCTTGGGTCAGAGTGACACCTCAGTCTCTATCTGCAACAACTTACTTTTTGCATCCCTTACAGAAAAAATAACTCCAGCAGTTTGTGGCTGCTCTCTTATCATGGGCATGTCTTGTCTTGACCCCAACCTCCCCAGAACAGATTACGGTCTTACCCCACTCAAGGAGGAAGGCAGAGAGAACTGTACTGTGGTCCCCATCTGATTTCCCTAAAACACCAAAAATAAGCAAGTACCAAACCCCCTTCTAATCTCTCTACGGCCTGGATCACACAAAAGGAGGAGTAGGCCTTAAATTATTCTGAAAACTCTCAGCCCTTTCCTCCCACAATGAAGCCTTAGAAGAGGATCATTTCTAGAGGTTTCCCCCCTATAAGCCCCTGACTAGTCACCTCTTGCAGTGCCGGAGGACCCTGGAGTCTGAAAGTGCATCAGGAAGTGCTTTGCAGTAAGCACAGAATCGGAAGGTGTCCTCCATCTTCTGGAACATTTCTTGAGGGCATCGAAATCCAAAGCCTGATACAGGAGTGCCACCATCTATCACCTGTCTGCAGGGATAGCACAGACAAGGAGCAGCAATAGGAAAAGGAACATCCCCCAAATTTCTCATGACCCCTCCCTTGCCACCTATATACAGGGGTGGGCAAAAGGAGGTTTACAGTTCTTCATATGGCAAAAGACATAACGGTAAATAAATAACAAGAATAAACAGTGTTTTGCATACTTACAACTGCAGACCTGCTTTTCCACCTTTGTATTTCCACCTACTCCCATCATTTATGACTTAGAAAATTATGTATTTTAACATTTCTATTGTAATAAACTGGCAAAAGTCAGGATGAGCAAAATCCTTTGTTCCAAATACCCAATTACCCCCAAATTATATTCTCTCTCCACCTTTTGAAATCAATTCTACCAGAGACAATAGATTGCTCTTCCAGAGAGCTAGTCACTCACTTGTATTCTTCATAGCTTTTCATGTTCAGCTTTTGAAGAATCAGCTGGGATAGGCCAGGAACATTATTATCCAAGGAGCAGAAGCCAAGTGCATCAATACTAGGGCCAGGTTTTGAGAGGGTAAGAGGCACAGGGGTCACAACCGTGGGGGCCGCTGGTGGGGGAGGTTTCTTGTGTCTTCGTTGCCGGCGCCGTGGCGCCATGGCTTGCCTGCTGATACCTAGGGACTATATGTGACAAGACAGGGAATGGCATTTTGCAAGCTGGATACATATGATGTGTTTTCACATGTTTGACCTTTCGCTTCTCATTCTAGTTTCTCAGACCCAGGTATCAGTAAGATTTCACATCTACTGATTTTTTATCACCACAGGCAGTTGTAAAAAAACACAGGGGGAATATAACAAATGAAATTCTATATAAACTATAAATATACAAGGTCTGGCACAAATAACACCCCCGTTTTCTTACAAAATCACAAGCATGTAATTCTGTAACATGACAATATCACACTGAAGCACACCACATGACATTTTAGGTGAAATGTTCAAATGGCTGTCTATCTTGTGTGAGACATTCACCTACTCCACCAACCACACTCAATGGTGTTACTTCTTCCAGACCCTGTATATGTAAGTAATGCACTAAAAAAAATGTCTGGCAGGGCTCATCCCAAACCAGTCACAGTGATTAACTGAGGGGAAGAGGCACAGGGCTAGGACTGAGTTGATGAAAGGAGACTTTAGACATAACTGTAATGTTTGACATTTTTAGACAAAAAATACACTCATTATTCCTGTATTTGAAAAAACAACTCAAAAGAGAGGAAAAAGCAACAGGAGTTTTGGCTTCCAAAACTACTATCTAATTGGACAATTAGTCAATCTAATTCAGTTTGGAAAGTAAAACATTCATTTGAAAAGACCTATCATCATATTTGTAAGTAAGAGACCAAGAAGTAAACATTAAAGGCAGAACAAAATGAGCACCACAATGCTAACAGTCAAAGCAAAATATGCAAATTATGAGGAAAATTTCCTAAATACATGAGTTTTGAAGTGGCAACAAACCCACACCTACAGGCTCACCCACTCAGACTACCCAATGGAACTCTGGGATGTCCTCTCTCCCTAGCATACCATTCCTTCCACAAGTGCTGAGTAAACAAAAGGGACTACACTGAAAAAAATAAAAACATCCATTCATCCAATAAACACTTATTTATAAATGGATAAAATCACTTACAAAATATTGTAATGAAAAATAGCCCTGGCTGGTGCAGCGCAGTGAATTGTGTGCCGGCCTGTGAATCAGAGGGTCACTGGTTCAATTCCTAGTCAGAGCATTTTTATCACTACAGGCAGTTGTAATGAAACTGCCAGGTTGTAGGCCAGGTCCCCAGTGGAGGGCACGTGAGAGGCAAACACACAGGGATGTTTCTCTCCTTCTTTAAAATATATATACTTAACCCTGCAGAGGTCACAGCTGAGAAATACAAGCTCTTTCTTAAACAACATTGTTACATATATTGGGTGCAGAGGTTCAAGGTCATGATTAGCTGTACGTTTATACATGACTAATCTTAAACCATAACCTTTAAGCCATCAGTTTGGCTATCACACGTGTTTTATAAGGGTATATTCCATAGTAAATTGTATCTGAGAGATATTGTAAACTCTTTAGTCAGTGTTGGTGTTAGATGCTATCCATCAAAAAAATGTTACAGACATTTTTTGTTATATTTTTTAGCAATAGCCATCTTTCTATCATTTGCAAAGAAAATTTTTTATTCATGTTCTCATATTTCTTTAATAATTTCTATATTGTAAGTGAAATAAGTTAAAAAATCATGTGCTTTATTATATAATAAATGCAAGTTTGCAGTGGGTTTTTCCACCACATTTCAGCACATACTAGTAATGTATGTATCTCTCAGATACACATGACCTATGCTGTAATATTTTGGACTGTGACCTCTGCAGGGTTAACATCTAAATGTCTTGTAGAGGAATTAAGTGTAAAGGATAGTATAAGGCAGCATATACGTTGTGTAAGAAAAGTGAAACTAAAGCACTAATGGGAGATGGAGAGAAGTCTCTCCAGCTGGTGAGCTACAGGAAGACTTTATCATGCAGGGAGGGACCAGCAATTTTCAACACAATCGTGTGTCCCAAGAATTTTTAAAACATACAGTACCTGACTATTTAGTCATAGGCATTGACCATCTTTCCCTTAGATTGTCAAATAAGAAAAAATGACAACAAATAATACAACAATAAATGTCTGGTATGAATGAATCAAAATTATACCTGTTTTGTTTTTTTGTCAGATCAGCAAATATGTTTTTTGGTGTGCCATGGGATTATAGTAATTAGTCTATGTATACCATGAGATGAAAAAGACTGAAAATCACCAGAAGAGACCACAAAAATGGTAATATTTTGAACATAAGGAGATAGAAAAAAAGGAATTCTAAACACGAAGAAATTGAACATAGAAATATAGAGCTTGACTACTGAGTCTAAAAAGCTTAAACCTTAAGAGCTAAAATTATAGTCATAAAAACACTTAAGGGATCCAGCTGGTGTGACTCAGAGGATTGACTGCTGGTCTGTGAACCTAAGGGTCGCTGGTTCAATTCCTGGTCAGGGCACATGCCTGGGTTGCAAGCCAGGTCCCTAGTAGGGGGTACACAGGAAGCAACCACACATTGATGCTTTTCTCTCCCTCTCTTTCTCCCTCCCTTCCCCTCTTTCTCAAAATAAATAAAATCTGAAAAAACACCTAAGGGGTCCCTAGCCAGTGTGTCTCAGTTGGTCAGAGCATCGTCCCATTCCTGAAAGGTTGCAGGTTCAATTCCCAGTCAGGGCACATACCTAGGTTGCGGGTTTGATCCCCGGTTGGGGTGTGTACAGGAGGCAGCCAATCAATGTTTTTCTCTCACTTCAATGTTTCTCTTTTCCCTCCCTCTGTCTCTAGAAGCAATAAAAAAAATCCTCAGGTGAGGATTAAAAAAAAAACCACATAGGGGTAAAGCTTCATGATACTGGATTTGGAAATTTCTTGGATATAACAACAAAAGTACAGGCAACAAAAGAAACAGATAAATTGGACTACATCAAAATCAAAAACTTTTATGCATCTAAGGGCAGAATAAAATAAAAACCCATTCAACGGGAGAAAATATTTGTAATTCATGTATCTGATAAGTAATTAATAGTCTGAATGTGTAAAAAACTCTCAAAACTCAGAAACACTGCCCTGGCTGGTATGGCTCAACGGACTGAGTGCTGGCCTGTAAACTGAAAGGCTTCTGGTTCAATCCCAGTCAGAGGACGTGCCTGGGTTACAGGGCCAGGTCCTGCAACCCAGCTGAGGGTGTCTGAGAGACAACCAACAGATACACCTCTCGCACATAGATGTTTCTCTCTCTCTTTCTCCCTCCCTTCCCCTCTAAAATAATTACAATCTTTAAAAAAAATAAAAACAAGTCCTGGCCGGTGTAGCTCAGTAGATTGAGCACGGGCCTGGGAACCAAACAGTCGCGGTTCGATTCCCAGTCAGGGCACGTGCCTGGGCTGCAGGCTAGTTCCCAGAAGGGGACCCACAAGAGGCAACCATACATTGATATTTCTCTCCCTCTCTCCTTCCCTTCCTCTCTAAAGATAAATAAAAATCTTAAAAATAATAAAAAGTAATAAAAAATTAAAATAAGCCTGGTGTAGGTCTGTGGATTGAGCACCGGCTCTGAACCAAAGGGTCGCCAGTTTGATTCCCAGTCAGGGTACCCAGTCAGGGTACATGCCTGGGTTGCAGGGCCAGGTCCCCAGTACAAGGTGTGCGAGAGGCAACCACAGGTAGATGTTTCTCTCCCTCTCTGTCTCCTTCTCTTCCCCTCTCCCTAAAAATGAATAAAGTCTTAGAAAATAAAAAGAAAAACCTCAAAAATGCCAAATAACCCAATTAGTAAATGGGCAAAAGCTCTGACAAGACATTGCTCAAAAGAAAATAAATTGCTAGCCCTGGCTGGTGTAGCTCGGTGGATTGAGCGCGGGCCTGTGAACCAGAGTATTGCCATTCAATTCCCAGTCAGGGCACATGCCTGAGTTGCAGGCCAGTTCCCAGCAGGGGATGCACGAGAGGCAACCATACACTGATATTTCTCTCCCTCTATCCTTCCCTTCCCCTCTAAAGATAAATAAACAAAATCCTTAAAAAAAAAAAAAGAAATTGCTGGAAAGCTGTTTATCATCACTAATGTCAAAAAAAGAATGTCCAGCTTAAGAAAAAGTTTGTAAGAATTTATTTGAACCAGTCTGAGGACAATTTCTGGGAAGCAAAATCTCAACAGATTGAAAGCATGCTCCAGAGATTGATAATTTTGCATCTTAATTTAAACATTAGAATCAAATGAGGAGACAGAGTATTACAAGAAATCCACTGGTGGTAGATTAAGGAGGAGGAAGAAAGCAAAGTAGAGAAACCTCTGGAACTGGAGAAAGAGTAAACCAGTTGGTTGAGCAGTGTTCTACAAAGTAAGGTTGCTGGTTCACTTCCCAGTCAGAGTACCAGAGGCAACCATTCAATGTTTCTTTCCCTCTCTTTCTCCCTCCCTTTCCCTCTCTCTAAAAATAAAGAAAATCTTTTAAAAAATTTTAAAAAACTATAGTGAAGAGACACACTTCTTTTACATTTGTGGGCACAGGATAAATAATAATTAATATTTACAGCATGGAGAGATGGTATTCAAGGAACAAGATAACAACGAGGGGTTCTGTGGTCTCCTGCTCCGGTGCAGCGGGTGTGCTCTGAGGGGTCTGGAAAAGACAACTACTCTGCCATTTCAAAGTATGTTATCTTAGATGCAAAATGACAACAGACTGGCTTACTTAGTAAAGACTGACCTTTGTCAAGAAAGCACTAGGCCTAGGACATGAATACCCACCATGACTTGCTTTCACAATTAGAAATTTTTATGTTCAGGCCATCCTGTATGTTGAAAACTTTCAGTCCCTGAGTTCGCAGGGCCCTCTGTGCAGGCATCACCTGAGTTCATGAGGTTTAGTATGTGGCTCCCTTTTCATCCATGCTAATCATTAGGAAAGTGCAAAATACAACCAGGAGATAACTCTTCACATCCATTAAGATGGCTGTTATAAAAAACCCAGAAAATAACAAGTGTTGGTGAGATGTGAAAAATTGGAGCATTTGTGCACTGACAGTAGGA